TGTAAGTAGAAATTCCTCTCTTCCAGCCAAGGCCTGAGCTGGGTGTGCCCCACTCATGACCCCTGTGTGCTGGAGAAGCTGAGAGGCAGCCAAGCCTTCCCTTGGCACAGCAATGGCTGATCCTTCTTTTCAGGCAGACTGGGTTGCTTAGAGGGAAATACGCTCGGTGACATGATTCATGTTGTCCATAGGGGAAAACATGTCAGTCCCTGAGGGCAAACAGAGCTTTTCCTGGCTTTTGCATCTGAAATAAATCTCTGGAGTGGAATTTCATACATGGGGACTCAGTGGTGTGTACACAATGTCTCCCCAACATCCCACCAGCAAGTGCAATAGCAGCTCCCTTGGGTAGGAGCTGGACACAGGACACTGAAATGGATTCTAATGTTTCAACAGTTTATCTTTCCTTTCTTGGGCCTTAGCCAGACTCTTAAAATGAAAATAATGAATTTTTTATTATGGAAAATTTCAAGCATGTATGAAAGTACAAAGAGTGATTTGGCAAACCACCACATCTGCGTCACCTAGCTTCGACAATTATCAACTCATTAGGCAGACTTTTGACCTTGCAGATGTTCAGACAATTAACTATGAATAAGCCAGATGTTGTTTGCAATCCTGCTAGCCCAAGGTAGAAATCAAGAGAGTCCTTTAGCCAGGCATAGCTTGAATCATCTCCATTCCATTTTCAAAAGCGTGGGGACCTGTTAGTCACCTTTTGGTTTGGATGGTCCTCCTACTCGTAGTTCTAGCTACTCCCTTTCATATGAACATGTGGTAGGGGAACATAAAACTGGCTTTGATGTTATTCTAACAAAACCTAAGATCCTTAGAGACAGACAAAGAAAACAGGAGTACCAAGTACCTATGTATAACTCTCCTGCAAATCTATTGAAGGTCATTTTAATTTAATGAGCACTGAAACACCCATTATGTCTGAGTAACTGTAGTCCTAGATTTCAAGGATCTCCCATTATGGCAAAGAATCAAAGTTGCTGTGACAAATACTCATAAGAAACAGTTTAAAGGAGGAAACCTTTGTTTTGGCTCATAGTTTCAGAGGTTTCAGTCCAGGGTTAGCTGGCTCCATTGGTTTCAGGATGGGGCAAGGCAAAAACATCCTGGCAGAAGGACATGGCCGAGGAAAACTGCTTACCTCATGTCAAGCAGGAAGGAAAAGGAAGGAGAGGAGCAAAGCAGGCCAAGGAAAAGGTTATGCCTTTCATAAGCGCACCCCCTGTGACCTACCTCCTTCAAACAAACCCTACATCCTAGTTACCACTGTCTCTCAATAATGCCATTAAATTACAAATATATCAGTGTGCCAAGCTATTGATGAAGGCATATTCCTCACTTCCCCAAAGTCCCACCTCTGAACATTGCTTTGGGAACCAAGTATTTAACACATGTTAAATGTTCCTTCTGTTCTTCCCTACATCTCTATGTCCACTGTTGCTCAACATTTAGCAGGTTCAAAGTGTGTTTGCTGAATGAGTGGGATTAATAAATAAATCTTGGCAATTCATTTTCTCTCAGGTTTGGGGTATTAGCTAAGTAAAACAAACTGTGGTATGAAACAAGGAAATGGAAAGGTAAAACAACATTACATTGTGCAATGCATTTCGGGTCTTTTCTGGCACATGAACTATCTCTCCCAAAGTTTTATAGCAAGATGGAGTCCTGAGCTTGTAAGGTCCTCTGCCAGGGTTTCTCAGCCTTGGCACTATTAACATTTGGGACAGGATCATTTCTTGCTGTGATGTTTGTCCTGGGCATCGTAGGCTGGCAGATTTCCTAAACTCTATTCATTAGATACCAGTGAAAAGGTCCCAGCTGTGACAAGCAAAAAATGTCTGCAGACTTGGATAAATGTGTTTTGTGGTCCCCAGCTGAGACCCACTACCCTACCTGACCTCACAATCATTTGTCTTTTCTCATGTCCCATCGTTCTCTATCATTTGCTCTATTCCAGCTCCACTAGCATCTGGATTGTTCCAGAATGTTCCACTTGAAGTCTTTTCACTGCATATTCCCTTTACCTGGCCTCTCTTCCCTCAGAAGAGACCACCGCACACCCTCTCTTTCTTCTTTGTTCCACGAAGTTTTCACCGCATTGTCACCCTGTCAGAACACTCTCCACAACCCATGCCCATACCACTTAACACCTAACTTACCACCCCATTTCCTTGTTTGTTTTGTTTCTCCTCAGTCATCCCCACTAGAATATAATCTCTATGAGAGAGTCAGGTCTCCTTTCCTGGCCTCCGCTTCTAGAACAGTTGCTGGAATACAGTAGGCACTCAATAAATATTGCTGAATGGGTGAATAAATGAATGCACACTTGAATGAAAAATTTTAAATCTTAGACCTTTTTGAAGTAAATTTCTCATCACTGGGAAAGTTTCATTAATGTACAAATGGAATATTTGACTTCCAGCTGTTAAGGAATATTAAAATTCTGTATTGGGTTTTAAAATTAATCTCTGAAGGTCACTTTTCATTTTATTTGAAAAATACTTCTCCCTATGTGTACACAATTCTTTCATAAGGAAGTATCTTTCTGTAATTCAGTTGAGCTACTAATTTCAAATAAGTTTGCTTTGTCCCTTATGCTGGTGGAGTTATTGGACTTAGATTACTGATCTCATAGGCACAGGTTTAAATTTCTTGAGTAGTTTACAGCTTCATTGATCTAGCATAGTTTTCCACCAAAAACATGCCAACAGTTTCCTATAGTAAACATTTACAATCTCTTACAAGTCTTGAAATGATCAGTATAAACGTTTTAATGTTTTTGAAAAGTTTCTTTGTTCTTAGACCATACACTTAAGAAGAAATCATACTTTACGGACAACATGATAGAGAATACACAAAGATTTAGCCAAAATTTTGCGGTCATGGATAGGTAAACATCTGTTAATCTCCTTCCTCAGTCATCAATAGGAGTTGAAGAATCCCTTAAGTGTTTTTTTTGCTTTGTCAGAAGAAATTGTTCCAGCATTTCCTTAAAGCTTTCAAGATTCCTGCCCAAAATAAAGCAAAACAAAATGTGTGGCTTCTGTTTCAGCTTTAAATACAATCAGAGCTACCTCAATGACATCTGATTTGGGGATTTTAATAATTTATTTTTACAAGTAACATATTTTTCATGGCACTCACAAGATGAATTATATACAAAATCCATCCCTCAGCTAACTAAGGAAATTCATCGGCAGTATGGAATGTCTGGATATGGACCAAGTACATTTTAGAAGGCAGCTGCCCAAAGCAGTGACATGCTATTGTTTATCAGGAGATAGAGGCCACTTTGGAACTGTATGCACTGGGTGTGCATAACATTTATATTTCAGAGGTGGTTACAAACCTTGGGATGCACAAAGGGCTCCACACCCAACTCCTGCAAATATTAAATATGTACTCTGTTGTGCATTTGAGCAAGGATAAGATTTTCCATAGAGACAGTCCTAGAAAAAGGAATTCTATTTAAAAGGATACATTTCTGAGAGTCCTTGATGCAGCTTCAACCAGCTTCTAGCTATGAAGTGTATGCAAATGCACACAAAAGGAAAATACAACATTATACAAAACCAGATTAATCTTCAAACGTTGCTAGAAAGAATGCTAAAGAAGAGGCATTGTCCATGTACAATTAGGAGCTTTGAGAGATGAAAGAAGCAGGAGGCAGAACATACAGCTCCTGCTTAAGAAGAAGGGCTGTTCCTTTTCTTCCACCTGTTTCTGAGACGTAATTGAAGACAATGTCTTACTAAAGGAGACTTGATCATGAAGATCACAAGGACTCACCATATTGCCTTAACGAAAACATGTTCAGTCAACAAAAGAAACCCACCTGTGTAAAACCTGGCATTTTGGTCAAACTAAAGGTCATGTTTTATTGCCTGGCCTCTTGGTTGGTTGCCTGAATTTGAGGTCTACCATGAGCTCATTCAGTCACTTGTGATGACCATCCTCTTAGGGTGTAAGACACAATCTCATGTGCAATGGACTGTTTTTTCTTAGAAAGGGACTTTGTTAGAGAGAATGTGCCAGAAGATTGAGACAGGAGTGTGAGGCCAGGGAGAGAAGCAGGGTGGCAGACACTGGCTGGGGGTGGAACTTTGGGACAGTAGAGAAAGAAACCTGCCCCAAGTGCAGGGGAGCGCACTAAGAGAATGCTTCTGTCTATTCATTTAGATTTACAGAGCAAGATTTGGTAATGTCCTTCTCTTTGTCTTCCCCTCCTCCTTTTCACGAAATCTTCTGCAGTGACTTACACTGCTTTGCATGAGCTTTGGAACCAGACTTGTGTTTTTCTCAGACCTGTGACTACCTTCAGGCTGGCACTCAGGGAACAGGAAGGTCTAATTTTACTTGGATTTTATAACTGTCTCAGACCCACAAATTCATGCCTCTGCATCTTGTGGTTGAGCTATGGTTTGCTAAGCTAATGTTGCCATAATAAACCTAACAAAATAGTTATTTGAATCGTATTTTATATTTATTTCCCTTTCTCTCAGGGAATCTGCATGACTACATTGAGATCAAGTCACCGAATGAGTCAGTACATTCTTTCAGATTTCTGGAAGGATGGTCTGATCAGACATTTGGTGAGGTTTGGGTTGTAAGCGCAGTCTGTGCTGAGGATTTTAGTTGGCTGGGGTGACGTCTAGTTTAACGGTGCTGTGTGTGTGCGCGCGCCATTCTTGGGGTCAGCAAAGCTTCATTTTTAGCTTAAAACAAGTTCTTTCCATTTCTATTTTAGGAAGATTGAAAATGGTCAGGATAAATATGAATAAAGGACTTTAGAAATAAATGTTCAAAATTAAACTGTCAAGCTATGACTTTAACCAGATTACGACGTAAATTCTGTGATTAAGCTACCCAACATTGGTGACTTTATAAAAAGGACATGCTGCTTTTGAACTTTGAGTTTTTCAGCCAAACACGTGTTTTAGAGGACTTAGTAATATGCCCTGTATTTTTTTATTTTTGTGTTTCAGACAACTTTTTCCTGCACCTGTGAGGACCAGTACGTGGGCACGTTCTGTGACGAGTTCGATGCTTGCCAGGGAAAGCCCTGTCAGAACGAGGCCAGCTGCATTGACGCGAATGAGAAGCAGGGCGGGAGCAACTTCACCTGCGTTTGCCTTCCTGGTACGGCTCACCGGCTCACAGTTGGTGCATCTCTCTGCAGAGCACAGGCTGATCGTTAGGGACGGTTAAACAATGCTTTGTCCATTGCTGGGCAAGGTGACTTCAGGATCTCATTTGGTTCTCTCAGTGCATATGGAATCAAGGAGTGGACGAAGGAAATACACGCGGGGAGAGCCTGTCCTTAGGCTTTCTTTCTCTTTTCTCCTTCTGTTTTTGGCAGAACTGGGGTTGAATTGCCTTACTCTATCACTTGAGCCATGCACCCAGTCCTTTTGCTTTAGTTTGTTTTTCAGATAGGGTCTCAAATTAACTTTCTCAGGGCCAGTCTCCGAATGGGATCCTCCTATCTCTGCCTCCTGAGTGGCTGGGATTATAAGCATGGACTACCACACCTGACCCCTTAGGCATGCTTTCTGCACCTTGGGTTTTTTTTTTTTATTTCATTTTTTTCTGGGAAAATTGTATTATTGGTCAAAGAGACTAAGAATTATTTCCAAAACAATTGTACAAGACTGTATTAAGTGTGGGTTGGCACTGTGTTGGTGATTATGTTAACCAACTTAAGAAAAATCTAGGATGAACTAGAAAGATTGTTAGGTAAATCCACCTATGTTCTTTTGTTCATCAGTCCATGGACTTGGTAGGCTTTTCTGCACAGTGGGGCAAGTCTTTAGCGTTCCTTGGTTAGTACGGTGTACTCTTGCATGTTACATCAGACTCGGAAATCCTCTGAGCACACTGGACGACTGGTAGGAGGCTGTGGTGACCAGTGTGCTTACAGATCCTCCTGCTCTGCCAATCATCCCGACTGACTTATTGCTCAGTCAATTGATGACAAACCCTTCAGGAGCAGAAAGGGCATTTTACCAGCAAATGTTTTGATACAGCTTCAAGGAAAACACCATGTTTATTCCTTTTCATTGCCAAATAATGTACAAAGCTCACATCATCTTCTTTCCCTCTCACACTGTTGCCAGCCTCTGCCACTGGGTGGGGACTCAGGATGAGGTACCTGTAGGGGATGGGGAAAGAAATGAAGTGAGGTGAGACTTGCAAAGATTAGGTACTAATTGTAAGAAATGAGAGCCAACAATGTAGATGTTTACAAACTAAAAAGCGAGAGTGCTCCCCCTATTTCTTCCATAGGATCAGTAGTTTGGGTCACTCTTTGAGAATCATTGTGTGTGTGTGCTCATTTCTCTTACAGATCAGATGATACATATTTTTCTACATGTTTAAAAAAGTGATTTTAGCATACATATGGTTCTCTAACTTGCTTTTCTTCAGTGGTGTTTGAGCAGATCACAGACCTCCTTTCATGTCAGTCACTTAGATCAATATCATCCATTTGAACCCATGCATGTGTGTCTCCCACATTTGTACTTTTAGGTCAGACCCCCTCCCAACCCATCTGCCTTCCTACTTGGCATCTCCATTTAGATGTCCCAGGTCACCTTAAGCTTCTCACTGTCCCCAGGCCCACACGGTCCTTCTCCCAGCATTCCATCCATTTCTCCCAGCCAGATACCTAGGAATCCCCATCTTCTCTGTCCAAATTCTTTCTACTTCTCAGTGTTTTCTATTTACCACATGTGTCTCAGTTTTTCATTACTGTGACAAAATACCTAAGAAAACAACTGCTTCACAGTTTCAGAAGTTTCAGTCCATGGTTAGTTACTTGGTTCCATTATTCCTGGCCATGGTGAGGCAGGGCATCATGGCTGGGAGCATGTGGGAGAGCAGATGTTGCTCACTTCATGACTGGCAAGGAGCAGAAAGAGCAAGGGAGGAAGGGGACAGGAACAAGGCAAACCCTTCAGAAGCATGCTCCTAGTGACATACTTGCTCTAATAGGCTGCACCTCTTAACAGTCCGCTCAGCCAATGAGTTAGTCCATTGATGAAGTTAGTAACTCCTGATCCGGTCACCTCTGATTAACACCAGCAGCTCGGGGCTAAGCCTTTAACACATGAGCCCTTTTGGGGACACTTCATATCAAACCTTAACATCATCTAAAGACCTCTCAAGTTCACCACCCACTCTGCAGCCTCTGCTGCCAACACTTGCAGGCCACCTTTTTTTGTCCCTTGCCTATACAACTGGGACAGCCTCCCACAGTTTCTCCATACACTGTTCTTTTTTTTTTAAACACATTTATAATGTATTTATTTTTAAACACTCTTTTAAGTGGAAGTACAAACTTTCAGAGGAAGAGGTTTGTACTCTTAGTTTATGAGTATTTCTGGGAAACAGGCAAAATACTTAGAAAGAAAAATTCACATTAGAAAAGCAAAGGGTTTTTTGTTGTTGTGTTGCCTTTGAGTAATTAAGTCCCAAAAAGGAGTTGTTAAAGAAATCAATGCATAGGGTGCCGTAGGGAACGGCCACTCAAAACTCAGCATGTGTCATTTTTGCTATGAAAATGTGGGGTGAGAGCCCCAGTTTTCCCACAGTGTCTGCCAACTCTGATGACCCTTAGCTTAGCGTCTTCTGCAAACAGAATCTGTGGCCTGATCTTTTGAGGATTGCTCACGTTTCTTTAAAAACTTTTAAAAATGTTCCTCTTTATTTCTGTTTATATTCCTTAATTTGAAGTCTGTTTCATCTGATATTAATATAGCCATTACTGGAATTTCAGCTTTCATATAATTAGTATTTGCTTGGTATATTTTTCTCCATCTTTCCCACTCCCCTGCTCTTTTTTTTTTGGAGACAGGTTGGCTGTGTTGTCCAGGCTGACCTCAAACTTCTGGATTCATGTGTGCCTCAGCCTCCCATGTATCTCCATCCATTCTTGACGCTGCTCCCACTGGAACTAGAGATTGTGCCAAGTTGAGCATTCTGTCTTGTCACAACCATGCCCTGTGCCCTCTGTTCCCCACATGGCACAGGTGGGTGAATAGCTCTCATGCTAAACTTCCTTTCCTCTTGGATGTCTCTCTTGCCTGCATCCCCAATTCCTTCTCCCTCCAGTGTCTTCCTTGCCCTGGGTCCCAACCAAACAGCCTGAGTTTCCTCTGCCATAGGTCTACTGTAGAGAGCTTTCTTGTGCTCTCTTGTTCTACCAACCTAACTGGGGGTGACTGGAGATGCAGAAAGGACAAACAATAGAAGACAGACATGCGTAAAGTTGGGGCCAAGTGTGCTGGGTGCTCAGATGGAGACGTACAGGAGCCTTGTTGCTTCTTTTCTCTTCTTTTATTTTGCTTCTTTTTTCTTATTCTTTAAAACCTTACTTCTAAAGTCTTTCTTTAAAACCTTGCTTCTTTTCTATTCTTTAAAGTCTCTTTCCTTAGACTCACTCTGTCCCATGTTTTCTTTAATCTCTCTTAAAGTCTTGGCCCACAGATTGCACTGTCCCATGTTCTCTCTGTAGCTTTCTTAAAGTCTTGGTGCTCAGACTTGTACTGTCCCATGTTTCCTCTAATCTCTAGCATAACTCAGCAGCAGCAGCAGCAGCAGCCCACCAATCAATCAACCATCAAAAAACCTTGCATCCTCCTTTGGTGAGTCTTTTATATCCAGTGGTAAACAAGGGGGTGGAGCAACAGTTCTTGGGGAGGGGAGTGACATTGTAACAGGAGAAACCTTCTCTCTCTCAGAACAGTAAACAATTTAGGAAAAGCAGCTGTGCTGCATTTTTGCCTCTGGCTCTCTTCTGCGGCTGGGGCTGCGCCAAACTCAGCCTGTAGATCATTGATCACAACTGCTTATGTCAAGTTTTCATCCACACCCCACAGACTACCCTGTCTTCCGTGTGTCCAGATAGCCCTTTCTCTGTCTCCTTTGTGCCTGGTTAGTTACCCTTAGATCTCTGTTTCACCCTTTGTTAAATGTCCCTTTCTGTCAGAAATCTTGGCTAAATGCTTCAAGACAAGTTGCCCTACATTTTCCTGCCAGAGTTAAGCCCTGTGAGAGTAGGACCAGAATCAGTATTGTTCATCATTGTTTCTCATAATCCAAGAGTGTAATTGTGGCTGCTCAGTCAGTGAGCAGAGGAGCTGAGTTATTGAAAGGGTATAAATGTAGGCTGGTGTTTTCAACCATTTCTGTATTGCTGGATCTTTAAGATGTTTGTAGTTTCTCCTTTTTAATGTCTGCATGTGGTTATATATTATTAAATTTTTATTAGCATATAATAGTTGTACAGGGGCTACATTGTGATATTTGCATATCTGGTTACAATATATCTTAGTTAGATTCACCCCCTCCCTCCTCCTTAGAACATTTTCAACAGGTTTCATTATTTTATTTTCATGCTTGAATACAAAAATACATCTACCATGTTAGCCCTCCTTCACCCTTTTCTTATGTCCTCTGTCCTCTCACTGGTACCCATCCCTGGAAAGGAACCTGTTTTACCTTCCTGTCTTCTATTTTTTAAGAGTGCATATTGATGGTCTGTGATTTTGCTTTGGCACTTCAATTTTTTATAAGTCATGTTAGAAGAAATGAAGACTTCTAGTAAATACAGGTTGAGCATCCCTAATTCAAATATCCAAAATCAGAAGTGTTCTAAAATCTGAAACTTTTTGAGTTATGTTAGTGTATTTCAGAGCAGTGATGCTCAGCTGGAAACATCTGTGCAAATATTCCAAAATCTGATAAACACCAAAATTGAAACACTTCTGGTCCCAAGCATTTGGGTAAGGGACGCTCAATGTGTAGTCTTGACCAGAGCTGGTGAGTGGGGGTTTTCACTGTTTGCACTGAAATGATATTCTATTCAGGTGAGTTCTCTAAGGGGTTCTCCCATTTTTAGAAAGGATCTCACATGCACAGGATATCGTTTCTTAGTATTTGATTAAGGAGACAGAGTTGGGAAATTGGAATTATATGAACATTACCTTAGTTGAGAAATCTCTTATGTCCTCCATGCTTACCCTGTTTTTATATATTTACTAAGTACCAGTGAAACCACCACCAAACCCAAGGATTTCCATCTGATAACTACCATGTTCCTTTCATAAGTCTGTCCCTCCACCTCCACTTTCCTCTAG